GTAAGATTATCTTGGAGAAAAACTAAATGGAACCAGAGAATAGAGAGAAATCCACCAGTGTATAAACTGTAAGATTATCTTGGAGAAAAACTAAATGGAACCAGAGAATAGAGAGAAATCCACCAGTGTATAAACTGTAAGATTATCGTTGAGAAAAACTAAATGAAACATTTTATGAATCTGAACTACAAAGAGTTATAAAGTCTCCTAATGACATCTACGCTGTAGAAGAAATATTACATGAACAAGGAAGGGACAAAAACAAACAACATTTTGTAAAATGGAAAGGATATCCTGATAAATTTAATAGCTGGATCCCTCAAATATATCTAAATCGCCTGCCGTCATAAAATTTTATGTATAACTCTATTTTTCGTTATTCAACATGGATCAGTTGTATGTAACAGTTGTATAATTATTTTGCTAATAATACTCTGACAAACTATATCACTCTTCTTCCAATATCTATCAACCTTTAAGGTTCGTGGGAAGTTGCCTTGGCCGAATTACAGTATCCACATAGCTGGCATAACGTGCCTGATGGTACAGGATGGATATCATACTTTACAGGTTCTCACTCTGCTATCATAATAAATTATGTTAGACCAGGTCATTACAAAGAACCTGAAGATTTAATTAGAATCTTAAACCAAGTAGAAGATACACTTCTTAAACCCGACAGTGAACCTATATTAACTTATGATTCCTTCACCCGAAAAGTAAGCGTGAACGTATATCATGGAGCCTCTATAACATTCGATCCTGTACTGTCAGTTATACTTGGGTTTAATAGCAACAGAGCCCACTATAGCTCCATATACTGTTAATATGCATGGTGGATTTTATTCATTCTGTGTTTACTCAGATATTGTGGAACCTATTATTGTTGGTAATGTATATGTACTACTGATACGAATTGTTCAAATTAAAGGTCAGGATGGGGACATTATCACTGAAACATTTACAAATTCTCAATACAGACCTGTTTCTAAGCAAAATTTTCAGACTATAGAGATCGATATAAAGGACATTGGTCGACCTATGTATGTCATAGTGAACCCCTACTGTGCTTATTCCACACGTAAGTTGTGCCTGCAACACACGAAGATGCGATACTTACCACACAGAAAAGTATTGTTATTTATGAATTTTCGTACCACTGCGAATGTCGAATGTCGGTACGTAGGTTGCAGGATAGAATTAAACATGTACCTACATCCATAAGGAATAAGAGTGTGAAAGAAAGGGATTTACCCTGTTGCTCCTGTAAAACAAAAGTTCTACCACCAAAACGTGAATCAGCGATTGGCCAACATTTACTAGTGAACCCGACTTGTGTTGACAACTACACGGATAGCAGGTTAAATTATTGCAAATG